AAATGCAGTTTTAGGTTTATCTACTTTAACCATTTTCACTCGATGGAAACCCGACCTTAAGTCCAGAGTTGAAAACCACCTGGCTCCACCTTGGGCTTCAAGAGTATCATCAATTCTTGGTAGTGGGTAAGAGTCCTTTTCGGTTATACTGTTAAGAGCCCAGAAGTCCACACAGCAACGTTGGGTCCCATTCTTCTTCTGGACTAACACAACGGGAGCTGACCAGGGACTATCTGATTTCTCGACTATCCCTTCCTTAATTAGACCATCCATGACCTTCTCTATCTCTTGTTGCTTTACTGGAGCTATTCTCCTCGGAGGGATCTTTACTGGACGGTGATTGCCTGTGTTTATTCTGTGCTCCACAAGGTTTGTGCAGCCAAGGTCATGATCTCCTTTTGAAAGACGTCTGCATAATTCGCCAAAAGTTCCCTAACCTGAAGAACCTGTGATGATGACAAATGGACTATGCTTTTCTTATAGAGGTCAGTTAAATGTTCTGGGAGAGGATGTCCTTTCCTTATAGTTGTATTTCTTGCCTTCACATTGACTGGCTCACACCGAACAATGTCTGATCACATTTAGAGAAATTGGCCACTGTTGTGGGTAGTACTTGATGACCTGCCACAAGTGACCTTCCAATTTTCACGTCCACTGGCCTAAATGGGTCTTCCACTGCTTCCACAAGCATCTGGCTTCCTTGGGGATGTTCTTTTATTCTACCATAAATTATCTTCTCTGACATATGGGGTATTGTAGTTGACTTAAGTGCTGTAACATGCAAATCAACCGATGCAGCCACACTTACTGAAATCTGACCTTTGTTGTTTCCAAACGTTATTTTATCGAAGTTAACTACACACTTCCTAGGTAGCAAATAGTCCAATCCTAATATACATTGGTCTTCAATGTCAGCTAAGTATACTTTCTGTCTGTTCTTCTTGCTCATGAGCTCAATAGTTGCCCACACAAGTCCCTACAACCTTGCATAATGTCCTGTCACACCACATAGTTTCTGTATGGCTTCTGGTACTCCTTTGTGATCTAGCACTTTGATACTCACAAAGGTTTGCTGAGACGCAGAATCTATGATAAAGTTCCACCTTTGGCCATCCAGCGTTCCTGTCATGTACACACTATGTGTGCTTGCCTTTTACACTTAGCTGTTGGGACTTTCACGATGGGGGTTGGTGGGCATCCCTCAGCACCAACCACTACAGGTTTCCCCAAGGCTGACTTATTGGTAGTATTATTCTTACACTGGCTCCTCATATGTACTTGCTTTCCACAGTTCCAACAATTTTTCTGGGTAGCAGACTTTCCTGTCATGGCATCTTCCCTGTTTTGAAGTTGCCATTGCATCCTGCATAGTAGAGAGCAGTGCTTGCTTTACTTGTATCTTCAGTTGTGGACTGTCCAAGGCATCTACAAACTGATCCCTCAGCAACAACTTGAGGAGATCGGGTGGTGCGGTTGGGTAGGCCTTGTGTGTCATATTTTCCAAATCCTGTGCCAACTCTTGCAGTCTCTTCCCTTTAGAACGGACTCTCGTCCTAAACCTAGCCCTATAGACTTCAGACTGATTTTGAGTTCCATATCTGATTTCTAGAGCAGCTACCAGTGCTCCATAGTTGTGCCTGTCATCTCCTGACAACTGTCCAAGTATTTCCAGTGGTTGTCCCTTCAGGCTCGTTGCCTGGTACACTGCTTTCTACTCCTCTGTCCATACATTCATTTTTGCCAGGAGCTCAAATTGTGCTCTATATGCTTCCCAAGGTGACTTCCCATCGAATTCATGTGGCTTCCTTTGTACTAGATCACCCTTACTGCTGACACCCATGTCTGGAATGTGACTTCTGGCAGGACTGAAAATGTCTGTATTAGGATTTAGCTGTGGGGTCTGGAAGGGGCTTTCTGTTGTCTGGGGCTGATTAGGTCAATGGCTAATATATCCTCCTTGTGTAAAAGACTGTAAATCATTCTTTAATGTATTTAATTCACTTTGAAATTTACTAATATTTTCCATTTGGACTTGTTTCCTTTTTTGTTCCAGTTGCCACTGGTGTTGGTTTTCTTGCCACTGCTGTTGTCTCTCTTCTTGTTCATTTTCTTTCTCCTCCAACTACTGCTGTAGTCTCTCTTCTTGTTTATTTTCTCGTTCTTCTTGTTTCCTTTCTTTTTTCTCCAACCTCTGCTGTAGTCTCTCTTCTTGGTTATTCTCTCGTTCTTCTTGTTTCTTTCCTTTTTTCTTCCAACAACTACTGTAATCTTTCTTGTTCATTTTACTGTTCGAGCTGCCACTGTTGCAGGTTTTCTTGCTACTACTGTTGTCTCTCTTCTTGTTTCTGTTCTCATTCTTCTTGTTTCTTTTCTTTTTCCTCCAACAACTGCTGTAATATCTCTTATTTCTTTTCTTGTTTGTTTTCTCGTTCTTCTTGTTTCTTTTCGTGTTTGTTTTCTCGTTCTTCTTGTCTCTTTTGCTGTTCTTGTGTTGCTGTCATCAAATCTAGTAATCTGTAGTTTGATTTGCTACTTCTCGTTTCCATCCTTTTTTTTATCCCACTTCTGACACCAATTTGTTATGTATCTGCTTGTTTGTTACTTTCTGGTAGACTTCAGCGATACAAGTCCTTTTTTGACTAAACCAGTTTATTCTTTCTCGATACAACTTTTAGTAATACATAGAATTTCCACAGTCACTTTAAGCTTAACAACCCTTATAACACACGCTATAAATCACAGTGATTCAAACACTTTACTTACGGCGCCTACTGTTCACTTAACTCAGTTATCTATCTATCTCTTCGATCAATCTGCATATCTATATATTACTGGCTTTATTTGCCCGGCTTGTATACTAAAAAAGGAGGCGTCTGCAAACACTCGAACATTCGCAGGGTTCCCCCGATAATTCTAGAAACTCTAGCGCGCATGCTCCCAGCGTCACGCTGTCGTAACAATCCCAATATAGAGAAATTAAATTATGAATAATACTTGATAAAACAAAATACGAACGTAATAATAGGAAGCATTTATTAAACGTTTCAAAATCAGCAAAATTCCATCATTAGTAATCTAGAGGTACAAAATAAACAAACAATATTTGTAATTACAACAAGTAAACAAGTTAAATATACAAATTATTATAACAACAGAAATGAAAAAAAATGGCACAAATGAAATAGTTAAATTAAAATAGGTTTAAATCAAGTGAAAAATGTAAATTATTTAGGTATGGAAGAAGAGTTTTATGTATAATGTTTCTTTTAATGGAAGTTCAGTATCATTTTTGGCTTTTGAGAGGATTTTAAAGCTAGAGAGAGAAATCGGATGTTCTGTTTCAGTATTGTGCTGATAGATAGCGGAGTTGGGAGGGTTTGTAACATTTCTTCCACTTTTTATAGATATTCCCATGTGTTCACATGCTCGAACTTTACAGTCTCCACTCGTGTATAAACAAGTAGACGAGGCGTGAACAACAGGCAGACTGCAACCGATCTTTGTAGCGGAAAGAATTTTTTAGTCAGAAATTG